TTCTGGTTGCACTTTTAGTGTGTTAATTTTGCATCTGGAACGGGCCGTTCCGGATGCAAAATTAGCACACCAAAAGTGCAACCAGAACGACCCGTTCTAGTTTCAGAACGGGCCGTTCTGGTTCCAGGTGTTTTCAAAAAATTGTCATCCACGTGGCATCTACGTGGCATCCACCTATGCATCCACGTGACATCCACATGGCATCCACCCATGCAACAGTTAACTCCGTTAAAGAAATTTGGACGGAAGTCTCACATTGAAACCAATTAATTTATTAGGGACTAAATTGAAACCAATTAATTAGTTTGGGACCAAATTGAGACAAAAAATAAAAGTGGGACTACATTAAAACAAAAAAAGATTATAAGGGATCAAAATAAGTATTTAGTCAAAAAAAAAATAATTTTCTGATGAAAAGAAAAACAAATTACCTAGTATCGGTGGATAACATTATTAAATATATAGGACTATACATGTCATGCTCAAAATATATGATAAATGTTATTACCCATCACATAATCACTATAACTAGAGTTCTATCTATCACCATAGGACTATACATGTCATGTTCAAAATATAGTCTTAAAGTTTGAGTTTGAATTTTCATTTAATGGGTTGCAATAACATATGGAATAACGATATACCCTAGAATTTTATTGTAGCAATATTTGTTTGGGTATTTTAATACAAACCCAAGAATTAACAATTTTTCATTATGTAGGACATTGGTGCAATAGGAAGGTTGATGTAGTGATAATCATTTTTCTTATAATTGTCATGTTACTCTTCATAAAGCATTTTTAATGTATTTTGTGTTGAAAATTTAAAGCTCTAAAACAGATAACAATCTCTGTATGAGAGTTCAAAAGCACTCTTATTCAATAATGAAAATAGTAGCTTTATACCAACTTTAATAGGAATGAAATCTAAAACAGATAACAACTATATTTACATTACCTTAAGAGGTGGTGAATCTGATAAGGAATAGAAGTTAAACTAACTAGCAACTAACATGACCTTAATGTGATAAGTTTTTTTGATTAGTTGGTCAAAAAATCTCAGTTCCACAAGGAGATGTATATCCATTTGAGAACCAAGTAGAACCTCACTCTCCTAGTATGCTAATAAATTTGTCATGCCAAAGCAATTCAAAGGTCATATGTGATTTCAAACTAAAAAATCTTGATACTAGGAAAACACAAGATTTAGGATGATTTCAAACTTATTAAACCTTTGTTGTATGCTTTCTTATTATATTTTTATTCTAATAATTTGATTAGTATTTTACTATTTATTTAAAAAAATCTAAGTCAATAATGAGAAATTTATGTAATTTTTTGACTTAGTGTTGTTATATTTTATAAAATACTGACACATTTACAAAATATCATATCAACATGTTTGACATGACATTTGTGAGATAACTTGATACATCAACAAAATATCGTGTTAGTGTATTTGACACATTTCTGACACGATACTTATGAGACATGTGTTTAACATATTTACATCGTTTTATAATTAAAGGTTTTTATTTTTTTTAGTTTCGACACCTCTTCAATACAACCTTAACACCCATTTGACATGATTTAAATATGTTTAATAGAGTGAATTGAGTTTTATTTTTAACTAAATATTTATATAATATTTCTATCATAAAAAAATTAACTTATTTATAAATATTACAAGATTTATAATTTTTTTAATCTGAAATTTATTTTCATAAGAATCATTCGATATTATAACTTTTGAGAGATATAAAAATTGCAAAGTTTATATGTACATCCCGTGTACCACTTTTTGAATGTTAATCTGTGTGAGAGTTGGTGCTTCTAGTTGTATTGCAATGTGATGCTGACTCTTTATCTGGAGAAAGATTTGATTGTTTCAATGTTCCCATAAAAATTCTTACCAATAGTAACAAAGGTGATTGTTGACTGTGTTCATAGTCAACGCCAAAGGGTTGGACGACGAGTGGTTATTTCAACCTTCAACTATTCAAACAGTTCTGTCGAAAGTAATTTATTTTCCTTCTTCTTATGTCCCGGGATTCCATAACTCACACATAGTTCGTCTTCGACTGTTTTTGATTCAATTAGCATAGTATTCTCCTTCTTTTTTCTTTTTCTTTTTAACTAATATTTAATACTTTTTATAATATTTTTCAATGAAGCGGCAATATTTGTCCAACCCCTCGTATTTAAGGTTGTATTGAGAGAAGTCTTGCTCGACACTAATAATAAATATTGCATCTCCTGTATGGTGAATTTTAATATAGTTTTTTTTTATATATTAATTGTTGATTTAATACTTTTGAATATAATATAATATAAATTCACTAATAAATCGTTGAATTTTGTGATAATTATTCTAATGAGCAGTATAAAAAAAAATAAAAAATAAAAACGAAGTGTTGCACAGCTAGACAGAGGTAGAGTTAAAAGTGGGAGATTATATATAGAGAAGATCCGTTGCAGCGGTTAGGAGTTAGGACTTCGGAGTTGTGAATGTTCCAAAAAGCAACGCCAGTTGCAGTGCCCTTTAATTATCACTCACATGCGCTGGCTCACACTACCCTATACTCTATTCTCTATTGTTCCATTAGCACAAATTAATCACTTTGAATATGACACAACACAACACACGTAAGAAATAGAAAAAGATGAATTGGAAAGGAAGTATATATATGTTCAATTTTGATGATGATGTAGAGTACATGAGAAGAAGGGCATGTCCTAAAAAGTAAAAAAGATAATCTGTTGTTAGCAGGAGTGGAAGTGGAGAGCGAGAGGGTGGGTGTGGTGGTGTGGGTGGGGAGAGGACTCTTTGTGGATTCGCCAGCGGAGGTGGAGGAAGTCGTCGACGGAGCAAGGGAGCTTGAGGGGGCCGTCGGTGTGGTAGCCGTAAACGTCGTAGGCTTTGTCGAGAAGGCGCTTGAAGAGAGGGTGGTAGAGGTAGGAGATGGGGATCACGAATCTCCGAGAGGAGGATGGGGACCCTCCTTCTTCTTCTTCTTCTTCTTCTTCGTCTTCTAAACCCATCACTTGAACCGCCAGAAACCCCTTCTTCACCTTCATCTTCTTCTCTTCCTGCTGCATGCTCAAGACTCAAGACTCAAGACTCAAGAGAGAGAGAGAGTGTGTGTGTGGTTGAAAGAGGGGGAGAGTCTATGGATATATATAGCGATTGGAGGGGTAATAACAAGTTAGGAAATAGGAATAAGAAGGTCAATGAGGGAATAAATAAACAGCTCTTGGAGTAAGATGGGGACAAAGTGTGTGAGTGTGAGGTACACTCAGTGGATACCACTCCACTGCCTTCCTTTTCACTAACCTTACCTGCCTACCCTATCACTATCTTATATCTAATTACTCTTTCATTATTAATAACTATTCTCTCTAAATTTTAGATTCTAAACTCTTTCAAATATTTAACAACCATCAAATTAATAAGTAGGTATCTTTCTTTAATTTGAATTTTTTTGCATTAATAAAAGTTAGGGTTCGATTCTCAATTATCTAATTAAGTGACATAAGTTTCTTGATCATCGTCATTCACGTCAATTCAAATTAATATTTAATCTATTATTATATAATTATTTTTTTTACCAAACACTTAAATGATCATCTCAACTATTATTTTCAATTATTAGTGATACTATGAAAGTGCATAATGATTCTTAATTATTTTTTTTTGTACATTCTTAGAATAAATGTTCTTTATATATCTTAAAATGATTATTATGGGATTAAGAGTGTTTACCATAATTACTAGATAATCAAATTTCTTGAGTAAATTGATAAGGATTTGATTTTCTAATTTTATGTGTATACAAAAGACTTTGTTAACATGAATAAAACTCATATCATCAATCATTTTATCTTGAAAGAAAATAGTTTTTATTATATATATCTATCAATTAAGGGATATCTTTAGTGCAAATAAAATTTATAAATTATATTGTGTGGGACTTTTGCTTTAGAAAAAAACAAGAATTTATAACATATATAACCTATAACACATATAAAAGCGTCTAATTTAGTGGATACAATTTTTTGACAAGTTTATTTTTATAATAAATTTCAAACTACTCTTTCCTATTATCTCTCTTTTACTATTTTTTATTTAAGTTATTTTCTTTTTTACTTTTTGTAAATTATTAACTAATCAATAATTACTTATTTTTTTATATAATAAAGGCACTACGTGTCTCTCTTCCATTAATTTATACCTATATATAAAAGTAATTTCTTGTTCTTATGTATACAATTTTTTAACCGTTTTACCCTTAATTTTTTAAATAATAAAAAAATAATTTTGAAATTAATTATTTTTATAAATCCAAGAACTTGAAGTTCTAAGATTAGGTATATCACCTTTAAATAAATATAAAAATACAAATATTTGAATTCCACTAATAACAAATAAATATTATTCAATTATATTTAAATTTTCAAAATTAGAGATGTCAAGGCACTTTATGCTTTTAATAGTTATAGACAAACAGAATATTAAAAAATTACATGTAATTATTTATATAGGATATAAGAGTTTTTTTTTATTTATATTTAACGAGTATAATGGTCTACTAAAAGATAGAAATTAAAAATAGTTACATATTCCGATATCCCTTTATAATAGGTATAAATTTAATAAATAGGTTTGATATCATTTGAAAAAAGATTCCTCATCAAGAGTGGTTACACAAGACACATTTTTCAACGAAGAGAAGTTACTTAACCTTGGTGTTCAAAAGAAACTTTCTCATTGAGAGTGGTTATCCAAGATGGATCTTTTGGCCAAGAGTAATTACTGGATCTTCCAGTGTGTCTGAGAGGGCTACAAGATTTGATTTTCCTTTTCTAGTCGTCTACATTTGTCCATCATTTCAACATATATCTTTGAATAACTTCCAACTCTTGAAGTAGAAGCTTTTTCCAAACACCAAGCTAGGTCGAGTAACCGCTCTCGACCTAAACATTCTTGGATAATTACTTTTGTTAAGGAAATATCTGAACGCGAAGACTTGGTATCCACTCTTGGTCATATATAAATCCTTCTCGAGAAATGCCCTTTTGGCTACATTACTCAACAACAAAAAAATCGGAGAAACCAATTGAAGAAACTATACACTTTGTTCACATGGCACTATAGGCCAAAAGTACAAATAAGCATTACTGAGCTAAGCATATAGAGGAGTAAAAATTAATTGTGGGGGTCTGCTGCCTCTTGCTCTCCTTCCTAGTCAATTTTAGTGGTAATCTTTAGTGCCTTTGACTATTAAGCTTCTTCCTCCCTATGAGTTTCAGGCTTATGAACTAAGCAAGCAGAAAGGCTACACATACACAAAATGTTCGACACTAATTACCTAATTACAGTTACCTCTTAGTTTTTACAAAATCTAAGTTTTCTGCAATTGTGAGAGTTTATGCTTTTATTCTTAGATAAAGAATTAATCTTATCAATACAATTTGTGGCGATTAAAATCTTATGATTTATCACTTTCCTTCTCAACTATTTTTAGAGTGTGATGTCTATACCCTTCACTGAAAAAATTAAAATCTATTGCCTAAATTTGCACCTTTAATTCACTTTTATATTTGTATTACAAACTGTTAATGCAGTAAAACTTTTCATTTAGTTTTTACTGCTGGAATCATCTACATTGATTGAGGACTCGATGTCAGAATGCATTCTTCGATACCCTGTTGTAGAAGTTTTCATCTAGTTCCTGTAGCTAGTCGTAGATGCATATTATAGCTGCTATCGGATCAGAGGTTCGGGGGATTTTTCACTTTATTATTTAGAAATATATATTCATTTCATTCCTGTTGGATCTCTTGCTTTCAAGTTCTCTTAGTTTCTATGTAACTCAATCAGGACGTAGATGTAGATACGGATAGGGGTCAACCGGGTAACCAATCCCGGTGGCTGGATGACTCCTTCACCCTCAGATCGCAAGACTAAGGCAAACGAGGCGGAACCTCGGTGGCGTGATAGGCTGGTTCTCACCAGGGTCAGTCCTATCACAAAATTGGAGTTTCTAACCTCACTCTGCTTGGTAAGGCAGAGCCCTATGTTAGTCACATAGGCACCCCCCGGTTTCTTAGTGAAACTCATCAAGGTGAGGTTTGGTGGGCTAGCTTATAGCTATTCTATCACTCAGGGATCCAGAATGGAGCAACTGGGGGTGACGCGGAAGCCACCCGGGTGGGGCTGGTAAGATATGATATCAAGCGGTCTAGAATAGAATCGAAAGCTCAAAAGGGAAGTGAAGGATCAGTTCCTCCCATGCAATGTGGCATGGCTCGCTCGTGACTCATTGAGGAAGGGGCACGGTTAGAGATTATGTGAAGGACCCTAATGCTTAACATAAATAAGAGGACAAAGTCTTCCATTGAATGGCTGGTTTACAAACCAGGGCTCAGACGTAAGTCAGGAGAGGATTTAGCCTCTTGGTGGACTACAAGTTGAAGAGTTCATAATGTTGGGAAAAAAACGGATCTGCCATTCCTACTCCCCAGTTATGTCATCCCTTACCTATGATTCCATCCTAGTTTTCGCCGCCCATGGTTCCGAGAGACCCAATTTATACATAATGAGCACCTCACCCCTTTCTTTCCTTGTAGTTGGAGTTGGGCAAGATTTCACTTGTAAATGGATTGGCTTTAGATGCGGCTCATAACCACTGCTTGTGAACAGCTTGACTCCTGCTTTCCCGGCTACAGTACAGATTGTGCCAAAGACAGCTCGCTCCTGCTCAAAAATCACACAATAAGCCACGGCAAGGCGGCCAGTTCTAATCTAATCTAGCTATTTCAAAACAAATTATCATCTCAGGAAGACAGATCGAACTATTACAGATAGAACAGATAGATTGGTGTAGGCTCTAAGCCAAGCCTATCTCGTGTGCTATAAAATACACAACGTACTTTCCCGAGCCTTTCTCAAGCTATTATGTCTAGTCCCAGGTACAAAGAGGTGTATATATAGCGTTCTCCTTCCTGCCTCGACCCTTTCGGCTAAGAGGAAATCCGGAGCGACAAAAGCGATTCCGGTCTCCCCACCATTCATTTGAAAGGTATAAGGCACGCCATTCGGTCCTTTCTAAAGTAGTAGTAGTGGTGGCTATCTCCCTATGAAGTCTGGGATCTATTCCAACTTTACTTAATGTAAATAGTTGATAAGATTCGTGAACCCAGTTGAGTCCACGGGAAGATCTTCTTGTTCGGATTGCTAGCTTAGCTGCCCTTTTGGATACTACAATTTTCTTTTCATTTTACAGTTTACATCCAGGCCAAGTCCTTTTCTGCCTGTGGGAAACCAAGCAATTGATTCTCCCTGTGTCAATGTTATGGGTCCAATTCTAACTCTTTCATTGCTCTCTCCAGAAGCTTCACTTGCGACCTTATGCTTTCTATCCTAAATAGAGAAAGAGGGAAATAGGTCAAATCAAAAGACGAGGCTGAGCGTTAGCGATGGGCTGGGTAACGAAGGGTGAGTGTAACGATGGTGCGAAGCAGAGAAGGAAAGTCAAGGGCTTTGTGGGCTAAGGGATCTCGATATGCCCCTTTAGATTTAGATAAGAGTCAGTAGGCCTAGAAGGCTCCTATGCCAAAAGAAAATGCTCTACATGACTAAAGTCAAGGCGAACGGCATTTGTACAGCTGTTAAGAAGACTCTCCGATGTTGACTTTGTAAACTAATAGGCCTTGGTAACCGGTAGGTTACTTATATAATATAATTTCTAATGGAACTACCGTCTATTGTATAGGGCTACTATATTCATTTGTACTCGTCTACTAATGCCGGTCGGATTAGCTACATCGGATTGACTACTACCCTAGGATGATAGGACCAGTTGGAACGGCTTCTTCTCTTTCTACCTACACATCTCAGAGCTCATACACCTGCGCATCTCACTAGCGTATCTCCTCTCTGTCCCGTAAGCATTTAGGGTCTTACTCTCTCTTCTCGGTCAGTATATTCCCCTAATCTCTCTATCATTGGCATTGGCATTGGAATAGCCAACAATAATAGGTAATGAACTCCTTGGGATCGAAAGAGAACTTTTGCTTTGGTCTCGAGGAATTGTTGAGCGAGGCTGACTTTAGAGGTGTAAGCACCGCGAGTCTCAATCCAGTCAAATTCCTGTTCTATTACTGGCT